GAGCGTGACATTTAACAGTTGAACTCTCCCAACCTCTTTGAGCACTTTAACAAGTTTATGAAAACACAACAACAATGATCAACCTGCATAGAAGTTAAAAGTTATGAGCTTCTTAGTTTCCATAGAGAATAAGTAATGAGAGCAAGAAACTGTCCTATGAATTCAATATAGTATGGCCTTAGTGGCTGTGGAAAGACAAAGGCAAGGATTGTTTTCTGGCCCTGCAGGTTCCTACTAAATTGATATGTGAGTACCTTACCACAAATAATATTCCTTCATGATGTTTCTCAAGACTTTTTTTTTCTCCCTGAATTTTCCCAGAATGCTGTGGGCAACTATAAAGAACCATAGCCAGGGCATGAACATCTCTTCATCACAATGTGTGCAGAGCAAACGCAGCGGGAAACACCAGCTCAGAATTCAGTGCCCAGAACCCTGCAGACCACATCACACTCCCCTTGCTCACCTGCTTCAGGTCTTGGTGCTGATGAGGGTCTGTCATCCTGGGGCTCTTGTCCATCAAACATTTGTTCACAAGAATTACTTCCCTCTGTAGAAAGGAATGGAAGACTCAGTGGATTCAAATGGCCAATGGAAAACACAGCAGGAGAGCCACCGGTGACAACTAGGAGAGTCAAGCTGGCTTAGTGTCTCCTAGATGAAGGTCTCTGTTTTGGGACTCTGAAGGGGAGACTGACATGACTCCTCTGCCACCATAGGCAGAACATTGCCCAAAATCTGTTGCTTTCCTGCACACTTCATTCCTCGTTATTTCTGACCCCCGTTGCTGCCTCTATGGTTTCTTCTCTATGAGAATATAAGAACAGGATAAGTGGGGAGGGACAGAGGAAGACACCTTCACTCTTGCAGTTTCACTAGCTGACTGGCAAATAAAGGCTCACTTACCTCCGATGCATTGTAGGAATCTAGGTACCTCCCCTTTCTGTTCATCATTCATTTGGGAACTTCCAGGACTACAGGATGCTGAAAAGAAACAAGAATACAACAAACCATGCAGGGGGACCTCAGTTTGCTCAGGTGGGAACCAGGAAGCTTGTAAAATATAAGAAAATAAGGAGGACAAGGGATCAAAATGACATTGACTGTGTAATACAGAGCTTGAGCAGAGCAAGGCACTGTCTTTCCCCAGCAGCCAACACTTCAACATGAAAAAAGCATCCACATATTCTTCTCCTAAAAATCGGGTTCTTCCAAACAGGAGTCACAAGCCTTTCTCCCTGTTCCACACAAATGGCAAAGGATACAAGAAGAACCAGGGAGTCAAAATAACTAAGAACATTTTATACAATCTATTGTCTTGAAGAACAAGAGAGGCAGACAGGAAGGTGTGAACTTTAGGGAGGAAAATGAATGGAATCCTTATAACAGCAAGAAGTTGTTGAACTAAAGGGGAGAGGAGGATGTGCCAACTGCATGTCTGCGTGCCTCGTAGAGTTGGAGACAATGCCTTTGATGGAGCAAGAATGAATGAGGAAAGGCATCTGAGACTAAGGGCTGTCTCTGAAGTGGTAAGGTAAAAAGAAGAGATCTTATGTCAGCGGGGGAGCGAGGGGCTGGGAAGATGCCTCAGTAGTTAAGAGTGCTTGCTGCTCTTCCAGGAGACTCAGGCTCAGTTCCCAGTGCCACCCAAAAGCTCACAGCTCTCTGCAATTTCAGAGGCAAGGTTGACACTTTCCCCTGCCCTCCTTAAACACCAATCAAGTATGTGGTGCAGACAGACAGATAGGCAGACGGGGGTGGGGGGGTGGGAGGAGTGATGGAGGTGGGTCTTGTATCTTGTCTGTTGCTTTCATTGGTTAATAATAAAGAAACTGCCTCGGCCCTCATAGGACAGAAAATTAGGTAGGCAGAGTAGACAGAAGAGAATGCTGGGAAAAAGAAGCTTAGTAGAGGAGTCGCCATGATGCTCCCACTCCAGACAGATACAGGTTAAGATCCTCCCTGGTAAGCCAGCTCATGGGCTACACAGAATATTAGAAATGGGTTAGAACAATATGTAAGAGCTAGCCAAT